CCAGAATCCCTTAATATATAAAGCAAAACAAAAAAAAATGTCATAAAATTACGATGTGGCGTGTGGCCTGGATTATTACGGTTACAAAAGGCGTACCTCTCCCCGTAATAATTCAGTTACAGTTTTAAACTGTGCAATTACACGGCCATTATGCCTGACATTAGCTTCTTCCAGTTAGCAACGAGAATATATTCCAGATATCAGAGGAATAGTAGAGTCAGACGGAACCCGGAATGATGATGATGATGGGGATAATGGGGAATGATCAAGCGGGTGTCAATATTTACACCAAAAATATATAAACAACAACGCCCACGTAGCGTCTCGACGAATGAATGTCACGCGGTTGTCAGTGGGTTAAGGCTGATCTCATCAGCGTTTTCTTTTTGTCATAGGTCAGAGTTTGAAGGTATAAAATATGTCTAAAAAAATACCATAATATATATTATATTATATATTATTATATATATATATATATTATATATATATATAATATTATATTATATATTATTATACATTTTATTAGAATTCTTTTTGGGGTTTTTATTTAATTTATTTAAAGTCAATTTGAAAGTATACTGGTTACTGTAGGTTATGAATTATTTCACTATAGAAAAGGTATTATATGTACATATCTTTTTTTATTCATTATTCATTCGTTTATTCATTAAGATGATAAGAAAGGAACATATAGGAACGTCTCTTCAATAGATAAACTACCATAATGGTATATATTTTTTAAATATCTTGTTATTTTATTATAATTAATATTTATGTAGAAACCTCAATAATAACCTGACTTCTTAATTATATGTTATGATAAGTAACTTTATTCAAGAACTTAAAGAATGTAAACTTCTATAGATCCTTCTTTAATCTCCCAACCAATTTTTGCTGTACTTTTCCCATCTATATATCCTTATCCATCTGATCTTTGTTTTGTTTTACAAACCCTTGGTGATCTTGGGTTCTTGCTTCCTTTAAAAAAAACCCTTTAATCATTATGTAAAGCATGCCACTCGAAGCAAGGTCAGCAAAATCCGGATTTAAATCCAGATAACTCAGATACTCAGATACAGATACAGATCTTTTTTGGTGAAACATATGGCGCATTGCGAGTCCCAAATTTAAAGGCAAATGGAAAATTTCATGGAAAATTACCGAGTCAGTGTGCTCAAATGCAAGGCAGGAGTGCAGAGTGCAGAGATTTTTTTTCGAAAAAACAATACAAAAAAATTCCTCAGAGACAACAAACGAAAATCAAAATTTTCCATTCGAACCAATGCAATGGATCTTCGAGTGTGTGTGAGTCTGTGAGAAAGTGCCTCCACCTCGGAACCTCTCTTCTCTTTTGATTTTTTTCTGTAAAGACCTCTGAGAGTATAAGATATACCCCTTCGATTCTTGGGTTCTGCGTTCGATGATGATAAATTTCAAGTTTGCAACGCTCACTTTGCCAGCATTCTCCGATCTCTTGCACATGTGATCGGTCATGTACATAAATATATGTATATTCGTCTATATATATTTTGGTATCTGAATGTGCCAGTTAATGGTCACTCGTAAGTGGAACAAGCCAGAAAATGCTACGTTTTGTATTTTTTTTTTTGCCAGACGTCAGTCGTATCTGTGCAATTTCTTTGAGTGTATTGTGCATTGCAATTCTCGAGATCTTTCTGGGGGGTTTGGGTTCGGTCTCCAAGGTATTCTCATGCGGTACTTGGGAATTACAAGATCGTGAAAAACTGTGGGAAACCAGTCTTTATAAATCTGTAATTATAATATTAAAATCCAAATTTAAATATTAAATATTAATCCTAGAATATTGCTTTTCAAACTAGTCACTTAAGAATTATAAATCACATGAAATAAGGCTATGACTAAAAACTTGCTAAGCTAATAATCAGGCAAATCATAAAGATTAAACCGTAATAACTATCACTCACTAATTGCCTGATTAGAACTTTAAGTATAATATTTATCTTCATCTTTGTACTGAGCTCTCGTTTGGCATTATCCGTATTTTTGCTCTCGCCTTGTTAATTTCTTCTAAATGCCTGAATTATTTTACTCACACCGCCGTTGCCCCGAAAATTAACATTTAACCACTAACAATCACACCTTCAGTTCGGTCACATGTGCGACTTTCCACGAACCGATATGGCAATGTGATCTAAAGCCGGAAGATATGAGTAAATTATGAATATAGGTAAAAAAAAAAAAACAAGGGAAAATATCACCCACACAAAGTTTCCACACGAGGCACTCGGGAAATTTCCAAAGTGCGTAGTTGGGGAAAGTTTTTCAGATATATTTTTTTTAATCAACAATATCTTTCAATGTAAATAATAAATAATAGAAGTGATCGTAAGAAGTGATCACTGCGCCAAGAATATTTTAGTTACTTATAGTATTATTTAAAATAGAGAACCTATATTACCTGGTCCATATCCCATTATGTGAAAATAGTAACAAAGTTGCAAATCCTTATAATAAAATATAGATGGTTCTATAAAACATATTTAATTTATTCAAATTAAAAATTAAGTTCTGTTTTAATATTATTGATATAATATAATAATGTTATTTCAATAAGTATTTAAAATTATTACAATCCCAAGCGAAGGTCATCGAAAGTACTCGAAATACCCCAAAACAGGCATAACGGAAGGATGCACTTAAGAGAGTATCTTTTTGCTGCGCTTGCAATAAAGAGAGAGTGGAACTGTAAAGAGCGGGAGACTGAAGAATTGAAGAGCGGGTTTTTGGGGGCACGTTCGTTTTGTATTTGTATTTGTTTTTATTCTGTTGTTGTTGTTTTTGTATTTTTTGTTTTTTGTTGGCTGCTGGGGCGACAAGCCCCCGTGCATGACGTCACGTAAGCGAGAAACCGTTACAACAAAATGCAAAACGAGTTGATAGAGCGAGATGGGCTTACAAGTAAAGAAGAGGATGGCAACACATGCAACGTGACATGCGAAACGAGCTACAAAAAAAATATATAAAATGATTGATAAATAATAAAATATATGTGACATGTGACCAATATCAGCAAAGTGCAACGATAAGACGCAGACACACGCAGATATTAAGGCCCCGATAAAAAAGCCGCTGAGGTGAAACACTCGCAGGTGCCAGATTTGACAGGTACTCGCCATGATCTATAATATATCTATAATATATGATCTATATTTAGTTCCCAGACGGATTCGCTAACGCCCTTGTCAGCCTTGAACTTACTTACATAACGCCCCAGACATACGTATATTGCATTTGCATACCAATTCCGATCCAATTCCATTCAAATTCGATTCAATTCCGTTCATATAGTATACGTTTATAATAGTCTGGCGATCAAGCATTAAACTGGAATTTTAATCAGTCGTCTGTCCCCAGGCTGTCGACTTGTATCGGCAGACCTGCGACTCACTAAGTTTTAATGATTTCCATCACGTATTCCGGAATCCAGACTGGTTTGTTTTTACCCTATATCCAGGGATAGGGTATGTTTAATATGGAATAATGATTGAGTTCTAGGGTTTATATGGGTTATTGGGATATGATTATAGGGATGTTTAGAGGCTAGAATAAAGATTAAGTTATTTAAGTAGGTTTACTAGGTACTTTGGTTAACTATAACATTTCTTGTTCTAATATAAATATCATTTAATTTTTAAAATAAATATTCTAGATTTAGGATTACAGATTTTAGAAACAGTTTCTATTACTAAGAAAAACGTTAGAACTTCGGGAAACCGAAATTTCTTTACCCTTGCTGAGAATATTGATCACAACTCTGTCAAAAATGCATTAATTTTAAATTGGAAAACGGGGTTGTATTAGTTTTTTTAGGGTTAACAAATCTGCATATTAAATTAAAAATGTTAAAAATTAAATTTTTTTCGAAATTTTTTACGATATTTTTTTTTGAATATTGAAAAAAATACATTTTGCCCGGACATGGCTAGATCGATTCGACTTTTCATGCTGATCAAGAATATGTATGATTTATAGGGTGGGAAATGGATCCTTCACTAAGTTTTAAGCTTCTGACTGAAATTATAAAACCCTGAAATATAAATTTTCTTGATTTTGATTTAGCATATTATTATTATAACTTCTCCAAATAATTATATATTTTATTTGTTAACTCTTTTCATTTTTATAAATATAATTCATATTATAAACATTAAGGCTAAATATATTCCCAATAAAGTTCCTTTTAAAGTTAACTATAGTAAGGGCTCTTATCCGCACATTCTTCTAGATCATTCCCAGACTTGGCATAACTTAAGATTAGCCAATTAGCCAGGTAAACCGGGTAACCCGACCCACAGCTTCCGTCTGGCAAAAAAGTCAGGTGAGGCCGCCCGCCTGAGATCGGCTGAGCGTTGGGGCGTCATTGTCACGTTTCATTCGAGTCAACATTGTGCAATTAAGTCGTCTGTCTGAATTGCGATTTGCCTAATGCATATATGCATATATAGATATATGGATATTTGCTATATAGGGGCCCTATAAACGGAGTCAAATACCGATCCGCCTGACTTGATTCCCAGACGACGACGACGACTCCCCCCTTTCTGTAAACGATGGCAATTGAACTCGAGGAATATATACATATATTTTTGTATATATATTATATGGGAGAGAACTTGACAGATTTTTGCAATGACGCAGTATATATGGCTTTCCACTAACCGGTACCCGGGGGACATTTCCTATAGCGCTTCCACCTAAATGAATCAAATTGCCATACACTTTTATTTATTTAAATGAAAACTGGAGGCTTGATCGATTATTCTACGAGAATTTTCTTCACGGTGCCGAGCCCTCTAAAAAAAAAAGAAGCAACGAGAAGGAAAATTTTCCATCGTTCTCTTAATTGTTTATTGACTTGATTGACTTTTCTGTCTGTAGTTCTATTACGAATCTAGACGAATTGAAGAAAACATCGATGCCATTTTATCAAGTGTATATATATTTACTCTTTTGTATCTTTTTCTCAACTTATGCAATCTAGGTCGCTTTGTGAACGAAATAAAATTAAGAAACCAATTCTGTGACGTTGTGTCTTATTATTCACCCTTCTCGAAAAACACCTGTGTCAATGTACGGGCAATGCCGTAGGCGTAAAAGGTGAAATCCAAGCGATATGTACCCGCTGGCACTGGCATATTGATCTTGCTGAAATCCAGAGCGAACTTGTCCACCGTCATGTGGTTCTGGAATGGGAATAGAAAATCAAATAAATATTTATTTAGTGTAAAAAAAGTTATACAAAAAAGAAGGAAGATTTGGGATCTATCCTCGGTCATATATCAAAAGAATCATGGTAGATAATACGTAAGGAAAATTTATTCTTTACTATGAAAAGGATATGATATATGACAAATTCCGATATATTTCCATTTAATTTTGTTAGGTATATATATATACCTATATATATTAAAATCATTTTAACTATAAACCTAAACCTAATAACAATATTAGTAAGGGAAAACTTAAGCTAACCTAAATACAGGATATATTTTTATACCCAGGTTTACAGGGTATTATAATTTCAGTCAAAATGTAAAAACCCAGTGAAGGAGTTATTTCCGACCCTATAAATCATATATATTCTTGATCAGCATCAATAGCCGAATCAATCTAGCTATACTTCAAAGAAACATTTTTTTAATTTTATTTTTTTTTTTTTGAATTGAAAGGGGTTAAAATTTGAAAAAAAAATTGACAAATTTTTTTTTAATTTAAATTGAGTATGCAGATTTGTTAACCTAATAAAATCTAGCACAGAAGAGTTTGCCGAATTGAAATTAATGACTTTTTACCTTAGTTATGAACTTTTTAAATTTTGATTTATAGGAAAAAATTGTCATTTAAAAATATGTAAAAATATATATTCAAAGAATTCGAATATTTTAAGCTTAATTATAAACGATTTCCGCTTCAGTCCTATAATTCTATTGCAAACGTAAAGTTTATATAAACTCGAGTTTCCCGAACTTAGTTCACTTTCTTGTTGTATAGATGATTTAGGTGAATAAATTATTTCCCTTTATATTTACACTACAAATCCCCCTTAATCTTAACTAAAAACTGTATAATAGAAACCCCAGAACTCACCTCTTTCCAAGGACAAGTTTGATTAAAGTTGCTCTGTTTTCTGATGGCATCGAAAATAAATCGTTCAAAGGATAATTGGTAATTCGTGCTGGCCATTAATTTGCAGAAATCAAATAAAATGTTGTACATAAAAGGACGATAGCCGTCGCGTCTTTGAAAGCATTGCAATCTCGCCGTTAAATTGCGAATGGGAAGCTGCCTGAGGCTGACCTTCAGGGAAAGTTCCACCTGATTTCTATGGACCACCTTCAGGCGGCAATATTCATATTTCGTGAAGCCCCTTGAGGTGGGCAAGTCCATGCACTTGACATTGGTGAATTTTAACACTTTTGTGCCCTAGAACAAAGAATTTTAAATGAATTAAGATACTTGATAATAATAGTTTTTCTTACCAAAGAAACCTGCCATAAAAGAGCCAGGAAAATTAAGCCTGGCCAGTTATAAGACAACATTATGTGGAAATGAACTAAAAATGTTTTTCCAAATTCAATAAAATATTACTCTAAACAAACAAAGCCCTCAATTAAGCCCAAAATCAGATAAAGAGATTATTTCTAAATGCAAAAAGCAATTAAAAAATCATTTTCAAAGCATGCTTGATATTAACCCAGTTTATCAATTTTAAACAACGTAATTTCTTTTGTAACCTTTTGACTAGTTCAAAGACCATTAAACCCCCGTTAAAAAAATATATATATGTGTATATATTTATATTAAAAAAACCTGAAAGTCAAGCAGAACGCGTTTAACACCCCTGAATTAAAGTCAGGGCCCGCCCTCAATGGCTATTGACTTCTACTTCAATTACACGAAAATCTTGCTTACAATTCTTGGAAATATATGTTAACAATTTCCTGTTGCCCGATCGATTTTCTTGTCTTCTTTTTTTTTTTAGATTTTCGCTTACACAAAAGTGCTAAAAATGGGGAAATTGTGAGGCGATTTTCACACCAGAAACAAAAACATAATTCCTTGACTCATGCTGGGTGTATGATTCGCTTGTTAAATATATATCATTTTTTATCATTGTTTTTTGTTTTTGCTTTTTTATGTTGCTGCGGTCAGCAGAATGTTCGCCGTTGCAACGCCAGCCAAAGCGGCGTATACGTGATGCCGTCCAACGACGACGACGACGACGACGCATTTACCTGCTTGTTCTGTTGATTGTCAGTTTTCGAAGGTGTATTGTAAATTTCTGCCGACGCGCTCGTATTTCGAAATGTCAACACCGCCACCTGCACCAGGTATCCCAAGCGGCTCAGGTGATGCCCTCTACACAGGGGGAAATAATGGGGTTTTATTTGGAATTTAAAAATAATCAAATACATAAAATACATAAAAAACAAACACTATGGAGTCTGAAAATGCAATATTTATACATTTTATAAATATCTCTTCTGGTTATTCTCTATTATATACACCCTAGAGAGCATTTATTTATGTATTTAATGTTATTAAAACTATTAGAAACACATTTAGAAATTTATTTACCTTTAAAGGCATCTTAAAAACTATTAGAAATACATTTAAAAATTTATTTACCTTTCAAAACATTTTTAATGCTTCTTTGCAGTGAATTTTTAAATGATTATGCATTATTTTCCTGTATTAAATGAGTAAATATAATTTATCAGAACTGAATAATACTCCACAAGAAATCTAGAAATAAAATAAATAAAAAATATAATGATAAAAAAGGTTATTAAAAATAATAATAATAATAATAAATAAATTAATAGATAACTAAATAATATATAAATAAATAAAAGAATAATAATCTAATGCGTTTTCCTCTTTAAAAGAATTATATAAATTTAAAAAAAAAACCCTTAAAATCCATGAAAAAAATTTAAATTAAAGAAATTCAATCTAAAGAAATTTTTATTTGATACAAAAATTTAATTTACTAATGAAAACTACTTTTTTATTAAGTTTTAATAATTCTCTATTATATCCCTTCTCAGCAACACATAAAAGTATGCTATATTTCCTAACAATCCCTTAAAAGTCCTGAAAAAATCATTTCCCCCTTTATAAATCTATTATATCCCATAAAAATATTCGAAAAATTACAAATTTAAATTTGTTTTTGTGTAAAAATAATCATTTGTAGCCACACTGATTAAACCATTTATATTTTTATATTTTTACATTGACTTGGCGATTTTTGTGACGGTGTTCTGAGAAAAATTTCTTGTCGCTAAATGAAAACCGATGCGTTCCAAATACGGGGCCGACCAGTACAGTGACCTCTCCCACGAACAACAACAACAAACTAACTAAAATATATAAACTGAAATATAAAATAAAAAAAAGCGGTGCGGGGAAGAAGGCTCTCTCGCTGATTTGTGATTTATATTATTTTTTAGTGGTTTCATTTCACCTTTTGTTGAATGAACATATTTTTGCCGATTTTGGTGTGAATATTTTACTGAATGAAGGCATTTCCGTTTGCTGATATATTCCAATATCGAATAACTGCAATCGGAGGACATTTTCAATAGCTTGTTTTATTGTTTTTTGGTTGTTAATATATGTGAAGAATATTCACAGGAAATTACGTTGGTGTTGAAGAAGATTTGCGTCACAATCAGAGATTTGTTAGCGTTGCTGTTTTTTTTTTTTTTTTCTTTTTTTGCAGCTAATTGTGGCTCAAAGTCGCCAGTGACGCGTTTTGTCAAGTGCACTTGTGGCACTCTTAGTGCACTTTTTGCATATATCTAAAGCTAGTGGAATCTATTTCCCGATTATAAGTGTCATCCAAAAGGCACCTGAACTCTTGACCCTTGGCTCATTGATTCAATTAAGAGATTTTCTGCGAAAACTGCAAATAAATGTATTTCGAGATTCGGTTTAAAATGCAATGATCAAAGCAATGAAGAGGAAATAAATTGGGTATTGAGTAAATAAATGAAAAATGAGGTAGTTTTTAGTTATATAAATCTGGTTTTATGAAATTTAAGGCATTTCTTTTTATATTATTAAAACGTACACTAAAAAGACCTCTAAACCTTAGAGAACAAAAGTACAAAAATCTTCTCTTAGAAATATTCATAAATTCCAAATTTATTTCCTAATTAAAAACTTTATCAATATAATTTGTTGATTACAAACCTTTATATTTCTATTTATTAAATAATTTTACATTGGGTTATTAAAAGACATTAATTTATTTAGCATTTCTCAATAATTCTTGTGATTTCTATAAAATATATATTTTAAAACATTTTTCTATATAAAAAAACTGATATTGATATTTCCCCCATTTATACATTTTCCAGATTCCTGCCTTCGGTGCCAGGCGGACAACAAGCGGGATGTGATGGGTCGCCAGGATTGTGTGGTGGTTTGGGGTGAATGCAATCACTCCTTTCACCACTGCTGCATGTCCTTGTGGGTGAAACAGAACAATCGCTGCCCACTGTGCCAGCAGGAGTGGTCCATTCAGCGCATGGGAAAATAATAAACTCAACAACAATAAAATGCCGCCATCTCAACAAGCTAAGATCTGAATTTACTTTATGATGTAATTTAAAATAAAAGAAATATTGCCAGAACCTAAAAAAGGAATATAAACAAAAAATAGTTTATTTAAGCAAAAAAAAAAGCTTAAAATACAAACTCAAATAAGGAATAGTCATAAAAAAACTTCATAAGAATATACAAAAAAAAACGCAAAAAAGTTACATGCCCCGGGTGAGGCTCGAACTCACGACCTTAAGATTATGAGACTTACGCGCTGCCAACTGCGCCACCGAGGCTATGTGTTTCGCCTCGCCCAAGTAGCAGTTGAGTACTGAAATGTTCTGTACCTAGAACAAAAGCTGTTCTAAATTCTTAAAGTGCGAATCGATGGGTAAGTTGATGTATTTGTTAATTAAATAAAGATGTGAGAATATGTTTTATCCACTTTGCAGCTGCCAAAACTCCCTTGGCTTGTATGAGTCATTGGCGACGCGTCCACCACCTGTCCCTTTGGCGCAGAGGATAGCGCGTTGGACTTCTAATCCAAAGGTCGCGGGTTCGATCCCCGCAAGGGATGTAACTTAAAAAGTTCCAAGTACTTTTTTACATCTTTTTTTTTTATTGATAAAAAGTTTGCCTAATTTCGTTATCACACATTTGGAGGTTATAAAGATAAGGTTTAGTTCTTCGGTTGCAGCGAGGGCGAGAGATTGCGTTCCAGGACAGGACTGCTGAGCCTTAGCTTCTCCACATTAGCGGCGTTTGAGGTCAAAGATTCTTCGGTCAAACGCTTGGCGCGAACTTCCTGAATAGAGGCTGGTGGGGGGAATTACAAGAAAACCAGTTATTTATTGATATTGTTTGGGGCTCGCAAAAGAAAACTCACGACTGTATGGTGTGTACTTGTCCGATAACAAACTTTCTAGATTATAGCCAATAAAGCCAACCACGCCGGCTATCGGCAAGGTGATGTAGACGGCATTACGCCGCAGAATTGCCATTACAATTGGCCACATTTTCGTGTTAGTTAATACCGATTTAGTTAATTTTAAGACTAATTTTAGAGACAAATTTCCGGCGTGCTGAAATTATGTCAACATCTGACAGAGCTGCCAGATTCTGGAAATACATTCGAGCAGTGGAACTAGTTCGGGAGCTTCTCTGGTCCCACTAACGGCTGATTGCCTCGATATTTATGCCATTTTTTTGCTTGCATCGATACGGTCACACGTAGTTTTTTTGTGTTTTTGTGCTCTCTCTTTTCGTCGGTGCAATATTTTGCAATATACTATTTCCACGGCGAAAATCGCAATTACATAAAAAACGCATCAAATCGAAAACTCGCAGACGGAGCGCGGCATAACGAAATAGTGTCGGCAGTAAAACGAAACGGAAACGTAACGAAAAAGATGCAAGAACGGGAAAAACCTATTTACGCATTACGCAGCGAATCGTTGAGTTGCAGCCTTTTGTTGTTTTTTTATTGCCAAACGGGGGAGCTGCATTAATATGCAGTTGTTTGATGGTAAATCTCTTGTGATGTAGGCAAGGCACCAATACCAATAAACGCGCCGATTACCATTACTCTCTCTACTCTACTCTACTAAACAACAACAACCACAACCACAACCAAGTGCAATCAACAATTACAACGCAATCAGAACAAAGAACTACCAGCAGCAGCGAAAACAAAAACAACAACAACAACACCAAGAGCGAAGAATTGGAAAGAGGCAGAGGCAAGAGGAAGAAGAACAACAATAGCAGACGACGCATAATTTCCTGCTCACACACATACACACACGCACAAAGAGAGCGGCTGCTGTGTGTGGGGAGGCAAAACAACAAAGAACAACGAAAAAGCGGCGAGTGTGGGAGCAGAAGGCAAGAACGCCATCGAGAGCGAAAGGGAAAGCATCAGAGGCGGGGGAGCTGCTGCTGCATTTCTGGATTTCTTAATCTGGATTTCTGGATATATATATATAAGTATTATCCACGCGTAAAATGACCAATTCGGGACGCAATCATCATCGATTCGATGTAAGTAATCCCCAGAATATTTTGGAACCTTGTAGCTATATTTATTCTGATTAGAAATTGAAAAATATTTAGGGAAAGGAGAAAAATACTTTTAAAAATATTCATATGGTGATTTAAAGGGTTTCTAGATATTATTCCCAAACTAAATCTTATCTTGTGTAAAATTTTGGTTACATTTCTTCTAAAAATTAAATTTCAGCGATTTCCGAAATATATTTAGGGAATTTTGCCAGCTCTACAGGTCTCGAAATATTAATTAAGCTGTCTTTTTTAAATAGTGTATCCTGTACATCCTTTTTTAATTATTTTCAATAATTTTTCAAACTGTTTTGGTATTTATTAAGGAACAAAAGACCTTGAAAAGTATGCTACAAAACATGAGTCTTAAAATATTACTGCATTTTATCAAGTATACCTACATTCTCTAAATTTTTACTTAAAGCTATTAAAAAAAAGATCTGTTCTTCGTATAGCGATTTTTATATATTTATGGCTTGATTTCGATTGCCTGCCATAAGTACGTATGTATACAGATTTAGAATTTGCTTCATTTTTTGCTTTTATCTGAAGAAGTCTGAAGTCTCAAGAGGTTTTGGAATTTACAGATAAGTTATCTCAGAAAATAAGCAATAAATTATGCTGATTAATTTATAAGCAAAGCCCTTGAACAATGTTTTACGTGCTCTAAAGGTTAAGCTTAAGTGTGCCAAATCATTTAAGAATTATAAATACAAAGATTAGTGCGAACTTTTTAATTTAAAGTATTAAAAAATAAACAATAAAGGAAATTAACTAAGGGAGTCCGAATTTTATATACCCTTGCAGTTTTATATTGAATTATTAGATCGAATCGAATATCAATCATAACTAAACATTAGTTATTCGCATTCGTTGAATAAATATTTATTGATGACAATTTCTTTGACAAATCAAAGTTTAAAAAACGCATAACTCAGCCAAAAATAGATTAATTTTAATTCGGTAAGCAGTCCTATGCTAGTTTTTATTAGAACAATAAATCTGCAATTTAAAATGTTAAAAATTCAAATTTTTATCAATTTTTGTCGTAATTTATTTGTTATATTTTTTGAAAAAAATTTCAAAAATTTATTTTCTTTCTGACATTGCTAGATAGATTCGCCTGTTGATGCTGAACAAGAATATATATGATTTATAGGGTCGGAAATGACTTCTTCACTATTTTTCAAGCTTCTGATTAAAATTTAAATACCCTGAAAGGGTATAAAAATGCAATATTGATTATAATACCCCGAAAGGGTATAAAAATGCAATATTGATTATAATACCCCGAAAGGGTATAAAAATGCAATATTGATTATAATACCCCGAAAGGGTATAAAAATGCAATATTGATTATAATACCCCGAAAGGGTATAAAAACGCAATATTTATGGATAGAAACAGCTGTAGACCTAGAAAAGCTGTTTTCCCTGGCTAAAAATTATAACTTTGGAATTTCCTATATCAATTTGATATCTTAAATACTTTAAATTAAATGATTCTGAATCCTCTAAGCCTGAAACTAATCAAATTTAATTAGTTAATGCTTGACAAGGGCTTTATCCCTTTAATTTTTCTACAAACTCAATCCTGCTGTGTGGCTCTTTTTATTATTTTGACCATCCAGACAGTTAGTCAGCCACTTCTACTTCCACTTCTCAGTTTTCCCAGCTCGAATAGACTTGCAGCTCGTTTGTTTTTATGGCAAAGGCGGGTTCTTTGTCCTTCCTTTGAAGTCAGGAACAAGGAATCCACACCCGAGGACGTTGAACACAGGAGTCATCGCCTTTTGCGAGGGGAGTTTGCTTTCTGCTTGTAAAAGTGTAAGTGGCCGGCGGTGTGTTCTCACACTCCGAGGCAAAAATTATATGTTTGTCTTGCGACAAAAGTGCAATAAACTCGCTGACAGCACGGTACACCCCCAGCATTAACCCCCCAAAAGCTCCCTCGAAGAGCGTATAATGACCAGTTGCGAACTGAGGAGGACTTCTGACAAATTGGAAATTCTTTGCCAACCAAGTGCAATGTGCACACAATGAATGCCAAAGTAAATAAGCAAACAGAGGAGCAAGCTCAATGAGCTGAAATTTAAGCAATTTGTTAGAGGATATGAGGATACTGAGGGGATTTTAAACTGAAAATTGATTTTTTACAGAGATTTAATCAAGAAACGTTGATAGGGTTTAGATATCGTTTGAAAGTATGGTAAATTTCGCTTAAAAATCCATCTCGAACTCATTATTTAAATTAATTAAGATGCTGTAATGAAAAAACATGCAAAAATGTTATTTAAATTCTTCTGGAAGGTACCTACATTCCTTTTCCTTATTGTTTGAATTACTTTTTGGCAACCTGTTAAACCTTATTACTCAAAATCATAAAAACATGTTATTAAAAAGCTTTAAAATGATATAATTCTTATATTTTGGCACCAGAGCTTCTCTTGTGCTAATTTCGTGATAAAAAATAATAAGGAAATGACAAAGATGACTCGTTTTAATTGCGTTCTCCCAATAAGCTTTAATCACACATACCGATTTGCTTATTTATTTTTTTTTGTCGGCTTATTGATTGTCCATTGTTGGGTACTTGGTATTTAGAGTACTTAACTTATCTTTGCCTTCGGAGAACGAAAGCCAATAAACAAACGAAAGTAAACAGATTGCCAGATAAACAGCTGACTGTGAAAATGTCTGGCAGCATTGCTGCAATTCATGCAGATTTTACCACAACAGAGAGAGAGAGAGATAGAGAAAGAGTGGGGGGAGAAAGAGAAAGAGAGGGAGATATATGGGGAATTTATCAAATGGGGGAGAGAGATATTAGAAAGGAGAGTGAGAATGAGAGAGAGATATTTGCATGGTATTTACAGTTTTTATTGGGGATACCCTATAAAAGAAGAATATTTACTATAGATAAATATGTAGATAAGATATACATATTTATAAAAGATATATATTTTATATTAACCTTGAGTATATAGAATATCATTTATTTATTTTATTTAATTTTATTATTATTATTATTAAGTAAAGTGAAATGAGCCTGAGCGACTATTCCTTCAGGCTTAAATGTTATATTTTTTAATTCAGTTTATAAATGTATAGTTTTTAAAACTATGAACCCATAAAATATATATAATCGTGATTTAAATGCTTACTTTTTTATATTTTAAATATATTTATATCAAACTTTCTGATATGTTCGATATAATATTGAGCTCTATATTTTTAAAAATATATCATATTAGACTTTTCCTTGGAATATATATATTTTAGATCCCTATTTTTACCCACTTTCCTAGATTTTCTATAGAAGCTTAATTAAAATGAAAATGTTTTAGAAACTAAAAGACATATTTGGTCACAGAAGTTAAACTTTGTCTGGGAATTGTCTTAATTTTCCCATTTAACTTCGCGCTAAAGTTCAAGAAGTGACTTTTCAGCTAGGGCATCAAAAATTCTTGAGGTTTTACTTTTATTTTTCTGTTTAAACAGCGTTCAGACTCGCTCTCATTGAGACTTTTTAGTCAGAGTTTTTCTTTTATTTATATTTTTGCTTTGTTGGTGTTTTGTGTGTGTGTCGTCTGCCTTTGTTGGTTGATTTTGTGGGTGCAATGCCATGCTTGCTCTCTCTCTCTCACTCTCTCTCTCTCTGGGAGATGCATTTTCCAAAAAGGGAAAACTTACAAAGAGAGAGCGGGGCAGAGCTTCGCTCAGCTGATTTTTCAAGCTTGGAATTCTCGATTCTCGATTCTCTGTGCCTCAGTTCACATTCTGCGCTCTGTTGTCATCGATGGTGTCTCGCGAAAATCGTCGGCTCTCCTGCGTGTTTTTTGTGCCCCCACACTTTTCACACGGTTTTTCCTAGGCAAAAGAAGGGCGACGGAAAATCCATTTTCCCCGCCCCCCCTCCAAATGCAATTAATCGTCATAGCTCAGCAACAAGGAGGAGTTCGCTTGAAAATACAAAAACCTAAACAAATGGTAATGCAAGTAACTAGGAAAACTGAAAATGTATCTCAAAGTGTGTTGTGTGTGCTTGCAATGTTTTTCCAGCTCTTTTGTTGCACTTGTTTTGGACTTTTCCGCCTGTTTTTCCCTGGTGTGTCATCAGCTGTTTTGTGTGTGTCTGATGATTGCCTTTAGCTGTATGAATTTTCCTCCTATGCGTTTTTCATTTTCCTTTCCCCCCTCCCGTGTGTGTGTGTGGCGCTTGTCTATATTTATAAGTGAAAATATAGCATTGAGTGCAACCCAATTTCGGATGCTGACCCAGTTTTTCCCTCAAGCGCCTCTGACCTTGCCCATGTGCGAGTGTGTGTGTGTGTGTATATATAGTAGATATAGTATGTATAAATGGTGTATATGGTGTGTATATAGCTGAAGCAAAGCTTGTCTATCAGTGGCTGCTATCAAAGGCCTGACCCGGTCATGGCTTATATAAAATGCAGCAAAGATTTGTTGTCAACTTATATATTTTCCTCAGAGATATACAGAGATTTATATTCCCCTTTTTTTTGTCTTGAGTTCTCGAGGTCGCATGCGAGAAAGTATATGGGAATTTATAATTTGTTTACTCTTTTTTTTTACCATCCAACACGCACAGGCTTTTCCCCCTTTACCCCTTTTTTTGTGTGTGTGTCAGCTGTTTGGCGTTACGTATACGCCATGTGTTGCATGATCAAATAAATAATAAACTATGCAAAACGCAATCAAAGTGAGAAATGCCTTGCACTTGTCGCTTCCACTTCCACTTAAAGCGAAATTGAATTGAACCGACTCTTTTTTAAGGTCTCAGCTGCACTAGAATTGGAATTTGCATAAAAGTACGTGTGAAAGATAAAAGCTAAATACCAGGTCACATTAAGTGTTCTTTTTCGGACTCTTTAAAATTAATAGATTTAAAAATGTTGCTCTATGTAGGAGGTATACAATTTAGTGGGTATTTTAAGGAGGATTTTAGAGGGAAATACAAAGTTTATAAGGATATAAATGGTAAATCTAGACATCGTTAGACTTAAGGTTAAAAAAAGCAATTATACAGAGGATTGAACTGCTCTATAAAAGAGGATGTGATAAATTAATACAAAATCAAATTTTAAGGCTTTAAAAAACAAAACCTAAACATGTTTTTATACATAGCTTTTCAATTTCTCTTATCTCAGCTTCCTGATTACCTTTTGATTTATGACTTTAAAAGTTCCTCCTATCAGAGTTTTTCTTATTGGGCTCCGACCTTAAAGTTCAGTGTCCAACCCTGCTCTAGTTTAATGGAAAACTATATACATTATATTATATATATGGTCAACTCCTATTTCTGTTCTGTGATCAAGGCAGCAAATCAATAATTCATTGGACCTTCAATGAGCTTTATTTGATTCTCATTTCTCATACATATGCATGGTTTTTCTATTTGTATTCTTTTCTTCTTATTTTTTGTTCTACAATTGTGGAAATAACAATTTAATAACTGATGTGTAATACATTCGCAGCGTTTTGCTGTCATTGTTATGCCACTTAAAGTCACTTCTGACAAAAGAAAGAATAGGTTTTTGTTGAGTGAAGAGGTTTTATACACTGTTTCTGCAAAGTTTACTAAAACTTTGATAAAATTAATTTTTCTATGATTTTTAATGATTTTAAGCATTTTTAATGCTTGTTTTGGGACGCTGAAAACTTTTTAAAGACAAGTTAAAGTCAAGTTTTTATAATTTTTAATATGTTTTGTATTAGTTTCGGAGCTTTTAATAAAGTTTTCTGCCTTTTGTCATCTGCTTTATATTTGTGCTTATTTTTAAACGAAAACCTTTACGCAATCTTTATAATGTTAGTAATTTTATTAGTATTTCCTGATTTTTATCAATTTATTAAAATTAATTCAATTTTTATTTATAAAATATTTTTTAGAGATTTTTGTAAATTTTTTATATCTCTGTAGGGTATTATTCTGTGAAATAATAATTTCCGACCCTATAAACCATATATATTCTTGATCAGCATCAAGAGACGATTCAATCTAGACATCTTAGGCAGAAAAAAATTTTATATAATTTTTCAACATTTTGTAAGATCTTAAAATTACAAAAAAAATGTTCAAAATGTAAATTTTTTTTTCAATTTTTAACGAAGTATGCAAATTTATTAACCCGATAAAAACTAACATGGGAAAGCTTTCCGAATTAAAATTAATCTTTTTGGCTTAGTTATAAGTATTTTAACATTTGATTTTTCGAAAAAATTGTCATAATTCATCCAATAATTCTTTTGCACACTTTAAGGGTATATAAACTTCGACTTATTGAAGTCAGTTTTCCTTTTAATGGTTTTTTACTCCCTTTTATTCTTAATTTTAACAAATATTTTCTTTAATAAAATATATATAAAATACAAACTCGATTAAAATTTCTATAATACCCCCATGTAAATGGTAGATAATACCCTTTAGTTATCAATTCAATCTTGTGTTATTGTCATTATTATTTATTATACACACTTATTTCTTGTTCGCGCGCTCTTGACTCCTCAAATTCGTCACACGTTCGATCGATTGCCTTTTTAAATTGCCACTGATGACTTTTCATTTAGGTTGAATGCCACAACACAATGTATAGATAGTGTGTGTGTGAGTGTGTGTTTATTTAAAGGGGGGTGTGGGGTGTCTGTTCCCTCTTCTCCACGAAAACCAGCTTAAAGTTTTTGGCTGCGCATTTCAATTAAGGCCACAAAGACCTTGATTGGCCCAAAAACGAACCCTCTTTTCCTCTGTTTAGATACGTTATAAATTCCACAGAATGTTGTACTATTTTTCCAAGTATATTCTTTCTTTATATTCAACCAGTTCCTGCTGCAATAAGTGATTTAATCAATAATAAAAAATATATAAATAAAACCAAGCGGAAAGAGTGAAAGAGGGAGCAACGCTTTTGGAAGAACGCAATTTGTGAATATTTTAATCGTGCATTCACTTTGCGCCAAAAAACACAGAGAGACAGCGGAAAAAGAAGAGTTAATTGAATCAGGAGAAGAGAGAAACAATCAAGAAATAACAATAAAGAATACACGTAAAAAAAAATAAACTAAACTGATAAAGTTCAGCGGCATGTTTGCCAGCAGCAGCAGCAGCAGCGGCAGCACTAACGGCGGCGGCGAGGGTGGCAGCAGCGGCGTCGTAGGAGTAGGAGGTGGAGGAGGCGGTGGTGGTGGTGGTGTTGCCGGCGGTGGAGCCAGTGGCAGCATTGAGCTATTGTTGCCACCAAGCGGCAGCAGCAGTATCAGTGGCAGTGCCAGCTTTAGCAGCAGCAGCGGCACGCACAGTACAACCTGCAGTGAGAGCAACAACAATAGTAATAACAATAATAATAATAATCACCAACAACAACAACAACAACAGAGCTTACAAATAAATGGTAATAGCAACAGGAATCCAGGCCACAATCACACCAACAACAGCAGCAGCAACACCAACAGCAACACCAACAACAGCAGCAACACCAACAGCAACACCAACAGCAACACCAACAGCAACACCAACAGCAGCAGCAGCAACAATAATCACAGGAGCAGCAACATCATCAGTGGCATTTGCAACAGCATTTGGCGTACGGCAACATTTGGCAGTGCAACACCTGTAATTAACACCTTGCCAAATGCAAATCTTAATCCTAAAACACTGGAGACAAGCAGCAGCAACAGCAGCAGCAGCAACAGCAACAGCGGCAGCAACAGCGATAGTTCCTCGATGAGCTCCTCCTCCGAGCAGCAAAGGACACTGGGCAACCATACGCTCGAGCTTGAAGAACAGGCAGTAAGATCATCAAAAAAAAAAAAGAACCATTGCCATTCGCTGACCATTTATGATATGATATCATGCCTGATCCAATCAGCATACTGTACATAAAGACACCAATTCAAACCCAAGTCAAGAAAAAAAAGAATCTCCACCAGCTCCACCTCTCTCTCTCTCTCTCTCAAGCCTTTCCTCCATCAATTAGTTTGTTTTTATTCCCCCCAGACTCAATTCGATCTATTGGTTTCCATTAACGATCTATTTCTTATATATATATTTATTTATTTTGGGGGGTGAACCACTTGCCGAGGCATTTCGGTTTAATAATATTATTTTAGACATCACATTTTTCAATTGGAAAGCGATCACACAGTTGAAAACATTGTAGTAAAACACAATCACTCATCCGCCATGTATGATCCGTTACCATTACAGCAAACATTCCTGGGCGCCACCGAACTGGACGATGAGTTAATCAAACAACTGCCAAAGGAGGTATTGCTGCGAGTCTTCTCCTACCTGGATGTGGTCTCACTATGTCGCTGTGCACAGGTAAATGAACTGCATGCTGTTCCCCAGCTGGATACTAGTTTGGTACTAATGAATTTTTCATTACACTGCTCCTTCTCCCAGGTATGCAAATATTGGAATGTGCTGGCCCTCGATGGTTCCAGCTGGCAGAAAATCAATTTATTCGACTTTCAACGTGATATAGAGGTAAGTTCTACAAAAGGAAAGTCGACAAAATAATATTTTTTGCTTGAAAAATCTCCAGGGTCCAGTGATTGAGAATATATCGCAGCGATGCCGCGGTTTCCTCAAGTCACTATCGCTGCGTGGCTGTCAGTCGGTGGGAGATCAGTCCGTGAGGTAAGTATCTATCCATATATCCCACTTTATTTCCTTCTAATCTCAACCTTTAATATCTTACAGAACTCTAGCGAATCACTGCCACAATATTGAACACTTGGACCTGTCCGAATGCAAAAAGATAACGGATATATCTACACAGTCCATCAGCAGATATTGTTCCAAATTAACGGCCATTAATTTGGATTCCTGCTCCAATATAACCGACAACAGTTTAAAGTATCTATCCGATGGCTGCCCAGTAGGTTTTATTCTATAGATTCATGAAATATGTAAAAATACACTATATCTTGGCTATGTATCCGCAGAACCTCATGGAGATCAACGTGTCCTGGTGCCATTTGATCTCCGAAAATGGCGTCGAAGCGCTGGCCCGCGGCTGCGTCAAGCTGCGCAAGTTTAGCAGTAAAGGTTGTAAACAGATAAATGACAATGCCATAATGTGCCTGGCCAAATACTGTCCCGATTTAATGGTGCTAAATCTACATAGCTGTGAGGTAAGTACTACTTACTTGATTGTAAACTTGGCAGAATAATTAAATTCCTTAATGCTGCAGACCATAAGCGACTCATCGATCCGACAACTGGCTGCAAATTGTCACAAGCTCCAAAAACTGTGCGTGTCCAAGTGTGCGGATCTCACCGATCTCTCGCTCATGTCGCTATCGCAGCACAATCATCAGCTGAACACACTGGAGGTGTCCGGTTGCCGCAATTTCACGGACATTGGCTTTCAGGCGCTGGGGCGTAACTGCAAATATTTGGAGCGAATGGATTTGGAGGAGTGCAGTCAGATTACAGACCTAACGCTGGCCCATCTTGCCACCGGGTGTCCCAGTTTGGAGAAACTAGTACGATATCTCTACAAACCTTACCTTGCCATAAGAATTTAATGTATATCCTCTGCAGACCCTTTCGCACTGTGAGCTCATTACGGACGATGGCATAAGGCACCTTACCACAGGCAGCTGTGCCGCTGAGATCCTCTCTGTCCTCGAGCTGGACAACTGCCCATTGATCACAGACCGAACGCTGGAGCATTTGGTGTCCTGCCACAATCTGCAGCGGATCGAGCTATTCGATTGTCAGCTCATCACCCGCACCGCCATACGAAAGCTTAAAGTGAGTCAAAAACTTGAAATGAATATATCGAGTAACATTGTCTTTTTTTTGTTGGCAGAACCATCTACCAAATATCAAGGTGCATGCCTATTTTGCACCCGGAACACCGCCGGCGGTGACCAGTGGACACCGACCGCGCTATTGCCGCTGCTGTGAGATTCTCTGAGATACGGCCATTGGCTTTGCCAGGAAGATAATGCGCAAGACAGCAACTGACTGATGCTGGTGGCCGGTGTGCATCGTCATGTTTGCCATGGTGTTCAGTTTGACCATCGTTTCGATGATCTGCATGCATATGCTAGGACTGCTCGATACGGCGATGCAGCAGGAGCAACAGCAGCAGCGGCATTAAAAACGAAAACCTAATCTTAGTTTTAGTTTTTTGAAAAGCGAGTTTTTTAAAAACTTGCTAGGAAAAACCAGCATCAAATTGTGATTATTTTATTTAATATTGCTACTACTATGTTAACTAGAAGATCCCCCTCATCAGTTTTGTGAAATCTGTGTATTAGAGTCCCCTGTCCCCCAAGAGCTTTGTGTTTATTTGTTATTAACTTGCAGCCAGACGAATTGCTAGCTTAATATAATAGCCTAGCTCCTTGTATATATAACTATATATATGTATGAATGTATATCTATCAGCTTCAGGTCGTTCCGCTGAATGTTCTGTGTCTAGCCTTAGCGAACTGTACAGGGATGCCATAGAAATTGTTGAGGAGGATGGATTGGTTTAAAAGAATGCAAGGAAATTAATTTTAATATTTTATTGCACACTCTTAGAATCAGTTTTTAATTATTTGAAACCGAAGAATTACTGTGGCACCCCTACTAAAGTGCGTTTAGTTTTAAACTCTTACTTTCGTCACTCGCATGCACCTGTATTAAATGTCTGCTAAATTATTAACTAAATTATTGAAGAAACCATCTGGATTAGGAAGGGATTTTATCATTCACTTCGGAACATGTCGATAGAACCACAAAGCGTTCATATAAATACACAACACATAACAGGAAGGCCACAGAAATCGCTGAAAGATATAAAATCTAATGAAAGAATGTATAAAATACTTTATTTTACCTTTAGTTTGTTAAAAAAAGTTCTAACTTAAAGCGATTTCTGTGCTGCATTCCCCTATATATATATATATATATGTATATGTACTTGATCAAGTCAAGTCTAGTGCCAGCAGAAAATATGTTCAGCAAATTAGCATTATTCTGTATGTATAGCCATGTATATTACACAACGAACAAACGAATGGATCATCGTCAGCCCTACCCACACATCAAAATAACTAAAATAAATCAATATAGAAACACACACTGGATTCTCACTAAGGTAGAGAAGGAGAGTCACAGCAAGCTCTATTGTTTACGAAATCGATTGAAAAGAATAATAACTAAAGCAAGCTTTGAAAATAAATCAGAAAAGTGTTATGATAAGTTAAAGCACACATTTTTAAATGGGTTTCCACAGCTTTCGAGTTTTCTGGTGGCACTCCTTATCTATAAGGTCTATATATATTTTGTAAAAATGTGAAAAATATAAGGGTTCCCATAGCTCACAGTTTGGATCAGCACACTACTAATTAGTTTAGTTTAATTATACGCTTGGATTTTCGATTTCCACAACCGAAGGTTTCCCCCTCTGAACTATGTACATGGCCAAATCCTCAAGAGATCGAACCGAAACCGAACTGTGAGCTGGGATATAGCTCTTAACCCATTCCGATGCTCACTTAATCCTAGGAACCACTCCCAGAATCCCCTGACAAACACAGATAAGCACAATAAACGCAAACAAACGATGTCAGATGAGATATTTTCCTGATTTATTTTTTATCCTGTCTAAAAAAAAATTAAGCTAAGCAAATGGTGTCATACAAAAAAAATATATATATATATATATCTACCATATATTTTCCTAGAAACAAAAATAAACAACCAAAACAAAAAGTCAAAGTCGTATTTACACAGAAAATAAAATAAATCTAAAAAGAGAAATTAAACAAGAGTTGTAAGTTGCGTATTTTAACGGATCTTTATATCTGTCTCTTGTAGTGTGTTTCAAACTTTGTTTTAAAAACTATTTAACAAAACAAAATCAACTAAAAATCACAACTGATATGTATTAATTTAGAGTTAGAGTTAAAATAACAAAAGCCGAAAATATATATATATGTATATGGAAAGTTCCGTACCACACACTCACACACAACAAATAACATTTGGTTCAATAAAATTTACATTTAAAAAAGGAGAAATAAATATTATATACACCTAAATATATATATATATATATATATATTATGTATATGTATTACATAAAGGCTTTACAATGCAGACTTATATATTTACATCATATGTATGTGTGTAGTTTTGCAAACAAAAAGTAATACACAAAAGAAACCACTCGGAAATTAACAAAATTTAATATGACTAAAAACAAAAAATAAACAAAAGAGAAATATGACATTTTAAACTGAGAAACGTTTAACATAAATAATATTTTAAATATCAAGAGGTGCGAGTGTTTAATTTTTTTGGGAGGTTTTTTATATAGTAGGTATATTTTAAAAGTTCATAGAAATATTTATTTTGTTATCATATTATATTATTTATTTATTTTTAAATTATTCTCTAGAGAAATTTAAAAGTTTTTTCATTGACATTTGTGGCAACTTGAATTTGATTTTCAAATTTCATCTGATTTTCTTTATTTGTCTCCTGGGAAAAGCTATAAAATATATTTGAAGCATAAAAACTTCATAATTTATAGATATTAATCTTGCCTTGATGAAATTTATTATTTAAAATATAAATTTAATCAAAACCCAATTTCAAAATAACTTCCAAACTAGTTCCGTGTCATACATCACTAATCCAGCAACGCAGTTGGGATTTCCACCACTCCGCAATGCTGCCACACTGGAACGCCCACAGCTGGTCTGGTCTCACAGTCTCACCTACTGTGTTGTTGGTGACGAAAAAAGAAAACAAGAGAAATAAACAATCAATTTTGGCAGGCCCGTTGTGCGCGATAATAAAGTGAAAATTATGCGAATCTCGAAAGCCGCGGCGAAAACGCAACGCGATGATGCTGCCAATGAAAGTGTAGGCGCGGCTTTTCCCGTTTTTCCACGCCACCAACGGCTGCAGCAGAAGCAGTGCACTTATTCCACCTGTGCTGGCATTTCCACCGATTTTTTCGCCAGTGGAGCTGCAATGGCGTCCAAGTTGAGAACGATCAATTGCGGTAAATAGAAAGAGCAGCGAAGGATAAAAAGCGGTGTGGAGAGTGGAGAGCAAAGAGCGACGAGCGAAGAGCAGTGCGTGGGTGCAGGCAAAATAGCAAAAAAGAACCGTTTTTTCAACCGCAGAAGCGGAGCAGCAGCAGCCGCAGCAGGCAAATAAGTCCGCGAAAGGCGTGAAAATTGTGCAATTGCAGTGAAAAGTGGCCATCGGTGGGTTATATAAAATATATGTGCGGTATATATTCAATCAAGGGCCACCAAGTGTTTCGATTCGCAAAAAAATCAATGTGTGATATAGACGCAAAATCCAGGAAGAAGAAGAAGCAGCACAGCTGAGTGTGTGTGCGAGTGTGTGTGTATGTCCCTGTGTGCCACAGGGTATGTGAGTGTGTGCGCTGTGTGAAGGCAGCAGCAGCAAGCAACAGCAAGTGAAATCAATAATATTTGCAGCAGCAAATAAACAGCAAAAATGTCGAATTAATTGGGAATTAGCGACACAACAACAACAAATTGCCGCTGCACTGAGCCGAAATTTTGTGCCTTTTAACGATCTTCCGTTGCGAAGAGAAAGAAGGTAAGTCAAGTCAGCCATTTTTATTGCACTCTCCTTTTCCTCGGTGTCATCTTCGTTTCGCACAAAATAAACCGAAATCGACAAGCTTGCGTTTTAATTGCTTTGAACTTTATGCGAGCTCTGAGGCTATATTTATGATATTTCATCAGTTTCTAAAGCGTCTGTCGCTAGAAGACGCTGCGTTTGAAGCGGATCTTGGAACTGGAAATGCGGGGCATTATGTAAACAAAGCAGGCAAGGCGATACCTTATGTATTCAACGAATGCACTGAGCGAAAACTTTTAAGCTATAAAGGCTTAGGAGTTCTTAAGAGGTTTTAGGGTATGCTAGACATGCAAATTAATTAGATAAATTGTTTTAATACATAAAGAGAAGAAGTGTGATTTTTTAAATAATAATAATCCCTAATTAAATCTCTCTGTTTTGTATGGTTGAGATCTCTGTGTTAGTGTGCGTTCTTCGTTGCTTCTCTTTTTATGGTCAAAGTAAATGATTTCAATTCACGTTTCATTGCTTTCGCTTCAGTATTTATTGTTGTTGTCTCTTCTGGCTTCCCCCTTTCCACTCCCGCTCTCGCAATCAGCTGTGAGCAGGACAGAGAGAGAGAGAGAGAGAGAGTGAGAGAGCGCTCCAGAGCAGACAAAGAAACTGTTAGCGCTGACTTTGCTGTATCCTTGAAATTCTCGTCTCATTTCGCTTCCTATTCCTTTTTTGCGCAGAAGAAAACGAGACAACAAAGGAAATTACATTAAATGCAGTCGACAGTTCTGAGTGGCTCTCATCCATATTGATTTAATATTTGCATTGATTTGTTTAAACGATAGCACAGAAACGGACTGCTTGCTGCTTATGCAATTAGCTGTAAATTCTGCGGTCGTCGCAATTTCGCTGCCAAGTGCGCATTACAAATCGAAAATCTTGGCAAAAGTCTGCAGTCTGTGCAATGGCAGACGGATTAAAGATGTTGCACTGTACCTGTACCTAACGGACTAACGGTTGTTGTCAGTGTTCCGCTATTGCCCCCCCCCCATCATTCGCTTGGCCGCCATACCCATAAATGGCCGATCAAAAGGAAGCGAATGATAAAGTGGGCAGAGGGAAAGGGAAGGAGAACATACTCTGCAATACAGGAGTTGAGCATATCGATAAAGGGATCGAAAAGAGGTGGGATTAATAAAGGGGAATTATCTTGAAATGTGAAATGCAAAGGTCACGGATAAAAATATTAATATTAATATTAATATTATTAAACAAAAAAGAAATTACATATTTAACATAAATTTATATTTATAATATTTATAAATAGGCAACTATTTATTATTATTATTATTAATTTATGTATAAATGTATAAAATCTGAACAAATTATGGTTTACATTTAATTTGTTCTATAGTACCTAATACTTCTACATTTAAATTAGATATCCAAATTTTGAACATGCTTCAAAAATAAAGAAAACAACACCGAATATTTTCATTGCCAAGTTACTTATTCAAAGGCCTGCATGTCCAAATTATTTCGTCTAAAATAAACAAAATTTACCCCAGAAAATGTACCAAGAAAATTCAAATTATATTTGGCTTTCTAGAGAAGAGGCAATGAAAAAAATAGAGAACAAAAATTATTCTGTTCAGGAAATGCATCTGTAAATTGGCCAATTGTTGGCCACAAATCTGTCTCATGACTTTCTTGATTGCTGGTGATCATAAAAAGATTTCATTTAAACGAATGAAACGCCCGCATTTCTCAGTTTCCGTATGAATCATAATACTCCCTTATTTATTACACCATGTTCAAGCGAAATTGTAATAATAATTGTTTCCGATTGAAGAGATATGCAGAATTCTGTGGAGATAAGCTTAAACCTAATTACCAGTAAATAATGTTCTTTGGAAATGTTCTGTTATTTCCCCAAGTATATGTATCTTTAAATAAAAACAGTCACCCCAAGGGGAAGGACAAAATATTTGCGTGTCTGTACGCTTTTTTATGGATTTTTCCAGGCTGTGTTAATGAAGCCATAAGTGTTATGTATGTGTAGCCTCCACCTCAATTCCTTAGTTGAACTTTCCACACGATAAGGAAAGGAACCTAGAAAACCGCAGCAGGGCTTATCTTAAACCAAATTATATTTATTTTGGTTTTGTAACAACTTTCAATGTTTCATTTATTATTATATTTGTATTTATGGCAGGCGGTTATGCAGGGGCCGCGAGATAACCCGTTCCAAAAACCGAAACAGAACCAGAAACCGAAAACCTCTGATAAGAGGTTGCCTCCTTCTGGTCTACTATCTCAGATTCCAGTCCCAGTTTTCAGTTCCCTGGGGTTATTGCATTACGATTCAGGGTCGTATATCACATTTTGGTTCCGATAAGAAATGAGAAGGCAAAAGAACGGTTGCCTGTTTTATTTTTTTTATTTTATTTATTTTCAATGTGTTTTAATGAACATATCCTGGTTGTTTTCTTAAGGGGGCGGACATCGGTCATATACTTTTCACCATAACAACACTGAGAAAATAGTATTGAGTGTATTTGGAGATTGTATCTTGGAAGGTTTTGTATTGGAATGAATGATAGTAAATCGTAAAAGAATATTTATATATATTTCTATAACCCCATATTTATCTATAAAAATATCAATTTAAAACCTTATAAAATTATTTCCAATATTATAAAGATTTATCTCTCGATTTAGACCTCTAATCCGATTTACTTTGCGATTTTGTTGCCGTGTAGAAATTCTTTGGTGGACTTTACTACGCATTATAAGCATTTTCAAAAATTCGGTCTTAAGAGCACTGCCCGAGAGCGAGAGGGGGAGATGCCAGTGAGAGTGGGGGACTGTCCGAGAGGTGTGTGAGTGCGAGGGAGTGCGACATAGAGTGCGAGAGGTAGAGAAGGGGGCTAACTGTGAGCAGTGACCCCAACGTTTCAGCCGTTGACTTTTTCCGTTCCCGTTGTTGTTGTTGTTGTTGTTGTTGTTGTTGTTGTTGTTGTTGTTGTTATTGTTATTGTTTTGCTTATGCTCCTCCCTCTCCTCGCCATCTTCCCTTATTTTTGCGTTTTATTTTACGTGATTTTGTTGTTATTGTGTTGCCTGGGTTGAATGACTTTGTTTGGGACGAAAACGCAAAAAAAAGAAAACGAAGAAATTAAAAAGTAACAACATTTTTGGGTGCTCTTCACTAAGCAAAAGGAGGAGAGTAAGAGAGAGAGTGAGAGAAGATAGAGAGGATGTAAAGCCAATGAACCCACCAAAACAAAAAACAATTTGGTAAAAACAGCTGATGGAAATTTAGGGGGTATTTTCGGGATGGAAAGTGGAAGGAAATGTGGTGGCTGTCTGGAAATTGGAACTCACACTCTCCTCGCGAAAACTGTTGATTTTCCTTTGTTAGGTATTCAAAGCCGAAGAAGGGTTGTTTTGGGGAAAACGGAAAAAGCAGAGAAAGGAGGGGTTTCTTCCATAACGCTTTGATTGATATTCGTGCAACAAACGAAACACGGAGCTTTGATGGAATTTGCATTTCTTTCCCATTTCGCCACTTTATCAATTCAATCGAAAGACAGACAGACACGAAACCAAAATCATTTTCCATATGAATTCCCTAACAGTTCTTTGTTTAGATTTTTATTTATTTTGCTGCTTTTATTTTGTTCTGTTTTTTTGCTTTTGCTTTAGCGAATTTACAAAAATAAACATCATGTAGTCATCGCATGGCTCTTGGTATTTGGTTTTCTAAAGTATGGTTCCCATTTTTGTATTCGTATTCCATTTTATTCCCTTTAGATACTTAATTGCGTCATGGCACGCTTATTTCCAGATGAATCAAAAAATATTATACATACTTTTCCCATTTTTATAAACTTTGATTTCTGATAGATACTTTTTGTGATCAAACTTATTTGAAATATCTTACTTTTAAAATTTCTAATAATATAAACAGGTTATAAATAAATTTCCTTGCGAATTTTCATCATAATTTATATATCAAAAATATATTTCAATACCATTTGATATCTATCTATCTTTTATATTTGCTTTTGCCTTATCTTTTCACATGCCAATTAACTTTAACTAACTGCTATTGATAGCCATTTGCTGTGTTGGCTTGAATTATTTACCGTGCTTATATTTATTCAAAATGTCCGCCTGTCTGGCTATCTGAGGTAGATTATCAAAGTGCTGGGTCATCGGCCATCTATATACATAGTGTTCCCTTCAATCGCTCCCCTTAATAATCCCTCCCACAATCACTCGGCCCCAAAATGGCCGCCACACTTGGCTTTGATGTCGCAGCTGTCTACGCTCTCAACCTTAAACTTTCCACGTTTCCGTGGAAAGCTCATTACAGTGGCAGCCACCTCGTTCGCTGTTATTTCCTACCTCTACAACACTTTTCACCTGGCGAGTCAATCACAGTCACGTGTGGGCCAAATTACAAGAACAGCTGGTGTGAGTGTGTGTTGGTGTGCCGGAAAACACGAAAGAAAACCCAGGGACAGACACAAAAGAGCTAAAAGAATCGGAAAAGTAGAGACATTGCCAAGGATTTGTACAGTGGTTGAGAAAAGTCCTGTTAAAATAACTTAATCTTTATAGACATATCCAATAAATTATGAAACAGACATAAAAAGTATGGATTTTATTAACTAACAAAAAAGGAAATTGATTTTTAACATCTAACTGTGCTTAAAATACATATTTGATTCAATATTGATCGACATTTTTATATGACAATTTTGTCTACAAATTAAAGATTTAAAAAACTCATAACTAAGCCAAAAAGGCATTAATTTTAATTCGGAAAGCTGTCCCATGTTAGTTTTTATTAGGTTAATAAATCTGCATACTCAATTTGAAATTTAAGAAAATTTAAATTTTTCCATTTTTTCACAACTTTAACAATGTAAAAATAAACGATAAAATTTTGGAAAAAATGTACAAAAATTTATTTTACCTCAAAAATGCGTAGAAAGATTCGCTGGTTGATT